ATGGGGAGGAAGTGGGAGGGGAGCTGTTGCATTGTGGTAAACTGTGGTCAATGACATGAGATAAAGTATATGTGAACTGCTGTATGGAAAGTGAATTTGTTTTGTAAATCTTCACCCAAATCACAATTAAAAAAAAAAACTGGAATAATCTTAAAGTATGTATTTAATTAAATCTACTTTTACTCATATTAAAAAAAAATAACTTGAAAATATTATAATTCTTATTGATAGACATAGAAGTGAAAGAGTGTCCATGCAATACTGGCTTAAATTTTTTATTTTTAAGAAGAGCTGGCAACTTGCCTTCTAGCCCTCTCCCTTTTCCACTTAATTGAGGCACTTCCTCATTTTTGAAGATTCATGAAGTACAGAGGCATTTTACAAGGTCATAGCCAAACTTGAAGTGCAAGAAAGGACAAAATTTCCATGAGAATAACTAGGGGAAATACAGACATGTATGAACTCAGGATATCATCATTTCTGTAGAGCCAGTCAGGATACCAAGGTCAATTACAGTTCAATGGATTTTTTTTTTTTTTTTTTAAACTACTGTAAAAAGAAATACTGTCAAGTGAGAAATAATTCAAAACATCCAAACACTCCACCATGGCATTTTACTGCTTAGAAGAAAGAATGATTAGCCACACTTTACAGGAATAGAAACCACACAAGTACAAAAACACTTTAGAAAATAGAATAAAAGGAGGATATTTAAAATTTAAAGTAGAACTTACTCAGTGGATGGAGCAGATGGCTTTGATTTTGTTAACTCTTCACCTAATTAAGAAATTGTATTATGAAAAAGTTCATAATATGAGTAATAAATTAATGTAAGATGAAACACTACACACACATCAGTACTATGAACAATCAAAAAATTCTGGAATTACACATAAATATAACTTAAACAATTATGAAGAAAAGAAAAATAGCTATTAACAAGTTTTCTATTGTGTTTAAGACTATTAAAATAATAAATTTTGATTTATCCTAACATCTTTCATAAGAAATTACTTAACTGAATCATAATATTTGTTAGAATAATTATTGCTTAGAAAAGAGAAAATATGGGTTAAACTTTAAAACTTACAAGAAATGTTAAAAATATTTATGTAAATTTGACTCAATAATTTTATTGACATGAAATATGAAAGCTTTTTTCAAATTCTAAGAATATTATTAGTGATCATTTTACTGACCAAACTTATAATAAGACTCCTAAAAAATGCCTTAATTTGGAAAATTAAAAATTTTATACCAACTTAGAGCAACAGTCTCTGTTTTGCTGTTTTTTGTTTTTTTTAAATTTTATGGTAAAAAATATGTAATAAAATATATGCCATATCAACTATTTTTACAATTCAGTGACATTAATCACATTCAAGATGTTGTGCAACTACCTCCTTTGGATAAAGGAGAACCAATTTTTTATCAGGTTTAAAATGAACTAAGTTTTAAATGAACTAAGTACTCCTTGAACAACTCCTCCCCAATTTCTCCTCCCACCAGCCCCCAGGGTAACACTAATAAACTTGGGTCTCTGTGGATTTGCCTATTCTAGATATTTCATACAAGAAGGAACACACCACATTTGTTGTTTCATGTCTGACATTTCATTTAGCAAAACGTTTCTAATTTCATCCATATTATAACACATATCAGGACTTCATTTCTCTTCACGGCTGGACAATACTCCATTCTATCACTCATTCATCAATTTATCATACTGTGATGGCAGCTTGTGTGTTGCTATGATGGTGGAAGCTATCCCACTGGCATTTCAAATATCAGCAGAGTTACCCATGCAGAGCATCCAGACTAACACAAACTAGGAAAAAGGACGTGGCAGTCTACTTGTGAAAAAACTGGCTACTGAAAACCTTATGAATACCAGTGGAACACTATCTGATATAGTACTGGAAAATGAGCCCCTCAGGTTAGAAAGCAACCAAAATATGACTGTGTTAGAGCTGCATCTTGAAAATAGAGTTGACCTTAATGATGTGGATAGAGTAAACTTTTGGGACCTTCATTTGTTGATGTGGCACCACTCAAAATGAGAAGAAACAACTACAAATATCCTTTAATAATCAGAACATGGAACGTAGGAAGTATGAATCTAGGAAAATTGGAAGTTGTCAAAAATGAAATGGAATGCATAAAGAATTATATCCTAGGCATTTGTGAGCTGAAATGGACTGGTATTGGACACTTTGAATCAGACACTCATATGGTCTACCGTCCTAGGAATGACAAACTGAAGAGGAATAGCATCACATTTATTGTCAAAAAGAAGTTTTAAGATTAATCTTGAAGTACAATGCTACCAGTGATGGGATAATATCCAATTGCATACAAGGGAGACCAGATAATAGACTATTACTTAAATTTACACACAAACCATTAAAGCCAAAGATGAAGAAATTGAAGATTTTTATCAACTTCTGAAATTGACCAAACCTGCAATCATGATGTACTGATACCTGCTGGTGAATGAAATGTAAACGTTGGAAACAAAGAAGAGCCAGAACTTGGAAAACATGGCTGACATGACAGAAATGGCACCAAAGATCATATGGTAGAATTTCAAAGACCAACAACTTGTTCATTGCAAATACCTTTTTTTCAACAACATGAATGGAAATTATACACCTTAACCTTGCCAGATAGAATGCACAAGAATCAAATCAACTACATCTGTGGAAAGAGATAATGGAGAAGCTCAATATCATCAATCAGAACAAAGCCAGGGTCTGAGTGTGGAAGAGACCATTAATTGTTCATGTGCAAGTTAAGTTGAAGGTATATAACATGAAAACAAGTCTGTAAGAGCCAAAATATGACCTTGACTCTATCTTACCTAAATTTAGCGACCATGTCTAGATTTCACACATTGAACACCAATGACCAGAGACTAGACAAGCTGTGGGGTGACATCAAGGACATTATACATAAAGAATGCAAAAAGATAGGGAAAAAGAAAAGTCCAAAATGGATGTCAGAAGAGAGTCTGAAACTTGCCCTTGAAAGGGGAGGAGCTAAAAGCAAATGGAAGAAATGATAAAATATAAGAGTTGAACAAAAGATTTCAAAGGGTGGCTCAAGAAGACAAAATAAAGCATCATAATGTAATGTGCAAAGAACTGGAGCTAGAAAATCAAAAGGGAAGAACACACTTAGCATTTCTCAAATGCTAAAAGAAGTGAAGAAAAAATTTAAGCCTCAAATCACAATACTTAAAGATGCTATGGGCAAAATACTGAATGATATATGAAGCACCAAAAGAAGATGGAAGAAATAATACACACAGAGAGTTACTGTACCAAAAAGAATTGGTCAACATTCAATCATTTCACAAGGCAGCATCTGATCAAGAATTGACAGTATTGAAGGAAGAAGTCCAAGATGCACTAAAGGAACTGGTGAAAAACAAGGCACCAGAAATTGACAGGATACTAATTTAGATATTCCAACAAATGGATGAAGCACTGGCAGCACTCACCTATCTAAGCCAAGAAATTTGGAACCTGGTCAGCTGACTGGAAGAGATTCATATGTGTGCCCATTCAAAGAAAGGTGATCCAACACAATGTGGAAATTATCAAACAATATCATTAATATTACACACAAGTAAAATTTTGTTGAAAATAATTTAAATAAGAATAGTAGCAGCAGTATATAGACAAGAACTACCAGAAATACAGAATTCAGCAAAGGACATGGAACAAGAAATCAAACGATGTATTGCACTGGGCAAATCTGCAAAAGACCACTATGCTGGGTCTGATTTTTCAACTGCTGCTTTCATGGGTGTTGATTGTGGATTCAAGTCAAATGAAATCCTTGACAACTTCAATCTTTTCTCCATTTATCATGCTGCTGCTTACTGGTCCAGTTGTGAAAATTCTTGCTTTCTTTATGTTTATATATAATCCATACTGAAGGCTGTAGACTTTGTTCTTCATCAGTAAGTGCTTCAAGTAATCTTCACATTCAGCAAGCAAGGTTGTGTCATCTGCATATAAAACCAAAACCAAACTCACTGCCATCAAGTCAATTCCCACTAACAGCGACTCCCTTTGAGTTTCCAAGGCTGTAAATCTTTATGCAAGTAGATCGCCCAGTCCTCCTTCCACGGAGTACCTGGTGGGTTTGAACTATCAACCTTCTGGTTAGCAGTCAAATGCCTTGTTGTTGTTAGGTGTCGTCGAGTCAGCTCCAACTTACAGCAACCCTATGAACATCAGAACAAAACACTGCCCACTCAGGTGCTAGCCTCACAATCTTTGCTATGCCTGAGCCCATCTTTGCAGCTACTGTGTCAATTCACCTTGGTGAGGGCTTCCCCATAATTACCTGAAGCACTTACTCCCTGACCCTCCACTTTACCCAGCATAATATCCTTCTCCAGGGAATGGTCCCTTTTGATAACACGACCAAAGTAGGTCAAAGTCTGGCCATTCTTGCTTCCATGGAGCATTCCAGCTGCACTTCTTCCAGGACAGATTTGTTTGTCCTTTTGGCAGTCCATGGTATTTTCAGTATTCTCTGCCAACACCACAACTCAAAAGCATCAACTGTCCTTCGGTCTTCCTTGTTCACTGTCCAGCTCTCAAAGGCATATGAGGCTAATGAAAATACCACGGCTTGGGTTGGGCACATCTTAGTCTTCAAAGAGATATCTTTGCTCTTCAGCACCTGAAAGAGGTATTGTGCAGCAGTATTTGCCCAGTGCAATACAGTGTCTGATGTCTTGACTGCTACTTCCATTGGTGTTGATTGTGGAACTAAGTAATATGAAATCTTTAACAACTTCAATCTATTCTCCATTTATTGTGATGCTGTTTATCGGTCTACTTGTGAGGATTTTTGTTTTATGTTGGAGATGTAATCCATACTCAGACTGAAGTCTTTAATCTTCATCAGTAAATGTTTCAAGTCTTCCTCACTTTTAGCAAGCAAAGTTGTGTCATGTACATATCTCAGATTGTTAATGAGTCTTCCTCCAATCCTGATGTCATGTTCTTCATGAAGTCCAGCTTCTCAGATTATTTGTTCAGCACACAGATTGAATAAATATGGTGAAAGGATACAACTCTGATGCAAACCCTTCCTGATTTAAACCATGCAGTATCCCCTTGTTCTGTTTGAACAGAGCCTCTTGGTCTATGTACAAGTTCCTCAACAGCACAATTAAGTGTTGTGGGATTCCATTCTTCACTATGCTATAGATAATTGGTTATCATCCACACAATCAAATGCTTTTGCGTAGTCAAAAAACACAATTAAACATCTTTCTGGTATTCCTTGCTTTCACTAAGATCCATCTGACATCAGCAATGATATCCCTTGTTCCACACTCTCTTTTGAATCCAGCTTGCATCTCTGGAAGAGCTCTGTAGCATAGTGCCTAAGGCACTTGACTGCTAACCAGAAGGCTGGCAGTTCAAACCCACGAGCCACTCCTCGGAAGGAAGGTTGGGCAATCTACTTCCGTAGTGATACCACCTTGGAAACCCAAGGAGGGGTCGTTATGAGTCAGGTCCGACTTGATGGCACATAACAACAACAACAACACTGCATGTCTGGAAGTTCTCTGTCAATATACTTCTGCAACTGTTTTTGAATTATCTTCAGCAAGATTTTACTTGTGTGTGGTATTAATGATATTGTTTGATAATTTCCACATTCTATGTGATCACTTTTCTTTGGAATGTGTACAAATATGGATCTCTTCCAGTCAATTGGCCAGGTAGCTGCCTTCCAAATCTCCAATG